ATCTTGGGTGTCCTTCTCACAGGCTACAAGTAAAGACAGACATATCAGGGCGCGTGTCCTTATCGAATTCCGAGGCGCATATTGAAGATGTTGGAAGAACTGTCCACATTTACTTTTCGTCAGCCAACAAGATGAGTATGCCTAATGAACAGCAAAAGCACTAGCCTATGTCAATCTACTATTCCCATAGTACAAAAGTTGACCTATTATATTGGTCAACTTGTCCTTCTGTGCGAGAAATAAATATTCCAAACATAGTCTGGGATAGTTGTGGGATGTGATAGATCCCAAATTAACACAACCACACGCATAAAAAAAACGTTTAAAATCAGTGAGGCTGATGCAACAGATCAGAACGTTTAGCTTAAAATGTTGAAAAACTATTAGGCTATTCCTTCACATTATAAGCGCAGCAATGCGCAAATGTTCCAAAATGCAATCAATTAGCGGAAAACGTCATTCTCAAAAGTGACCGCTAATGCGATTATGCATGTAATGCTTTATTATAAAGGTGCATTTTTATGGTGAAAATTATCTTCCCCAAACATGACACTTGATGTATGCCAGTTATTTTGCTACTTTAGTGATACAAACCTTATCAAAACATATAGGCCTATAAGGTTATCACGGCTCAGGAGAAGATCCAGATGCAGACAGTTTCGAAGTAACAAAAGTTTATTACAAAAACAGGGAGATAGGCAAACGAAAGATAAAGGGCAGGCAGAGGTCAGTAATCCAGAACAGAATCTAAAAGGTACAGAACGGCAGGCAGGCTCAGGGTCAGGGCAGGCAGAATGGTCAAAACCGGGAAAACTAGAAAACAGGAACTAGAGGAAAAACAGGAGTACGGGAAAACCGCTGGTAGGCTTGACGAGACAAGATGAACTGGCAACAGACAAACAGAGAACACAGGTATAAATACCCTGGGGATAATAGGGAAGATGGGCGACACCTGGAGGGGGGTGGAGACAAGCACAAAGACAGGTGAAACAGATCAGGGTGTGACATTGTTGTGTGACTATGATTTGAAAAGTAAAGAAAAAAAGGCATGTGTTGTTTCTTGCCCAGCTTGTGTGCAACAAGCTGGGCATCATTCACAAGTGATTAAATATCATTCACAAGTGATAGGCTAATATTGTCACCCATCAGACTATTCTTGATTTAATCTTGTCTTTACATATACTAAACAATATGTGTGAAATTTGTTTTGATTTAGAATGGACCATTATCATGCACCTGTCTTGAAACAGGGGCAGGGGGAACAAAGACATGTCATCTATGCACTTAAATAGCAAATGGAGGACGCTTTTCCCGTGGTTCATTTTCATGCCAGCCAGGTAGGCTATACACCTGTTGTAAAGAGAAGCAATGTGCATAATATTAGGAAAGTTGAGAAATAAATATAGTAGACCTAGCCTATAGAAAGCTGATGGGATCCTCCTCTTTTAATAGAGGCCATCAATACTCTGTTTTCTCATGCAGTTGCATAGCCTATAGAAATGTTGCGAAACATGAGCTCATGGGCTCTCATGAAGTGTTTGATTAGATTTTTGATCACATTTGCATTGATGTCAGAGTGATTAGAGTGACAATAGAATACTGAGTTCCAGACAGTCAGCAAGTTTGGTAGGCTACTAATGACCATCAGCAGCATCAGAGCTTGGAGAAGCTTAGTTACCATGACTAAATGGTCACGTGGAATTTGACTGTGGTCATGACTCGTGACCGCTGGTGTGGCGGTAATATGGTCACCGTAACAGCCCTTTGCCCGAGTTGGGTAACAATACTCTGAGGGTATTATTACACAAAGGGTAGATTAGTAGGACTACTGTTCCACCCCTATTGTATACTTTTCTTATCTTCCAATATTTCATGGATTGAACAATTGAATATGGCAACTTTAAGGATGAATCAAACCATTGTATTTTTGATTCACCAATATATTTTGTTCATAAAGGCTCTCCAAACCAGTTTATTCATAAATACTTTCCTAACCCTAATAAATCTACCAATTGGTGCTGAAAAGGAGACGAATATGCATAGCTTTCTTTCATTTCATATTTATATGGCTTTCCTTCATTGATCCCAAATATTCTGAACTGTTCTCTCCATATATTCTAGTGAGTCTGTTGAGAAAAGTATAATTATTGTACTGCATAGTACCAGTATCACATGGAAAATGTAAAGGGATGGCTTTAGATAAATGTACTGAAAATCGTATTAAATGAAAACAGTGTGCGCAAGAGAACCACGCCTGTAAAGCCTGTTATGCACCTGCATAAGGTAAGTCTGAATACCAACTACTGAGCAGTGGTGTAAAGTACTTAAGTAAAAATACTTTAAAGTACTACTTGAGTAGTTTTTTGGGGTATCTGTACTTTACTTTACTATATATATTTTTGCCTACTTTTACTTTTTCTTCACTTCATTCCTGAAGAAAATAATGTACTTTTTACTCCATACATTTTCCCTGACACCCAAAAGTACTCGTTACATTTTTACAGGAAAATGGTCAGATTCACACACTTATCAAGAGAACATCCCTGGTCATCCCTACTGCATCTTATCTTGTGGACTCACTAAACACAAATGCTTCATTTGTAAATGATGTCTGAGTGTTGGTGTGCCCCTTGCGATCCGTCAATAAAAAATAAAAATAAATTGTGCCATCTGGTTTGCTTAATATAAGGAATTTGAAATGGTTTATACTTTTACTTTTACTTTTGATACTTAAGTACATTTGAGCAATTCCATTTACTTTTAATACTTAAGTATATTTCAAACCAAATACTTTAAGACTTTTACTTAATTAGTATTTTACTGGGTGACTTTCACTTTTACTTGAGTCATTTTCTATTAAGGTATCTTTACTTTTACTCAAGTATGACAATTGAGTACTTTTTCCGCCTCTGCTACTGAGAAGGAAAGGCATGTGTAAGAAAGGCATACAAGTCTGAATCAGGTCCTAACTACACTTGCTACCTGAACATGAAATTAAGCTTGCAGCACTACCTACTGGATTTAATGTGAATTACAATATAATTAATTCAGATTACAAGTAATAAGCATTAAGAAATAAGTCCATTGAATTTCACTCACTTATATAAATCAATCAACTTTATTCATTAACACAGTATAAACATCCAACAACAGCAAATAACATAACTTCACATGGAGTAAATGGATGGTAGTAGCGGTAAATCCCAAAGTGTGTAGGCCTACAGGAGAACAGCTGTTTGAGACAGAAGCACAGACGTAAAAGTGGTTTGACTTGTATGGGTACACAAACCTGCTATCTCTTTGCATGGTCTCAAGCCATTCAGTCAGTTAGCAAATGGACAGAAAATAAGGGCAAATACAGTCATGCTGAGCGACATTTAGCTACTGTATGAAACATTTGTGTTATTTCATAAAAACCAGGTTAATCAGCTCTTTAGAAAGGTTTTTCTTTTATATAAATGATCTGAAGTGTACAAAAGAGTATATTACACATTTCTCGATGCATGATTTGGAGTCAAACTTCCCCTTGAAAGTACTACAAACTACCTGCACTTTTTACTTTTTCACTGGATTACAAGCTACATATGTATGGTACTGTATTGTACTGTACTGTACTGTACCAGTATCACATGGCATCAGAAGGAAAAGGAAAAATCATCAGCAGCATTTATCTTTTAGTAGGGATGCAGTCAGTGGACCTACTAAAATGTCCCAAGTTTCCCATGTTACCCTTAAACCATGCTGAACAGCACTACGCTGTTGAAACACACTTCTCCTTCATAAAGAATGACAGAGTTTTTCCTGGTCAGGTCACATGGTCAGAAAACCCCCTGGCCCTAACTACTATATATGACTAGGACAAGGAGTATGTCTTGACCACATAACCTGACCAGGAAAAAACTCCTGACCATAGGATTATACATGGAATGGTAATAATCTGTCTATTAATACAGTGTGTAGCTACACATCATACAGCAGCTGTATAACAACAGACATCTATGTTTATAATAGTTGTTGATAGATAAGTTAAGGCTCTTTAAGGACCTGAGGATTTCGAACGAATGATGAGGCACACACAAGGCAAAGAATAGAATAGCTTTAGAGTATGAAAAATGTATGCACTCACTAACTGTAAGTCGCTCTGGATAAGAGCGTCTGCTAAATGACTGAAATGTAAAATGTAGAGAAGACACACGGCTAACTGAGAAGATGAGGAGGATGATGAGCGGATGAGACAGACAGCCAGCGCAATTAAATGGTCAAGGCAGGGCAACCTGTGGAAGATGGGACTCCAAACCAGCGAGGGACAATAAAGTCACTCTCATCCTTTAACATAGTTTGTCACATTTCTTTCAAGTCAAATTTTTCATCAGGCGTCAGTGCAATGTTTTATGGAGTAATAAAAAAAAGAGTTACTCATCATATCAGTCTAGATGGTGGTAACAATTCATACATTTCTAAGAAGACTGAACTATGGTCTTTGTTTGACATGAAACCACAGTTACAGGTTGTTTTTTTTAACTAAAAGTTGGTATTCACTTCAGATGACAAAAGTGCTCTTTCCAACAAACTGAAAACTTTTAAAATTCTAAAACAGTCAGATCTGTATGTAGGTATGCACCATGCACTGAACTCACCTCAACCTTTTATAAAAAGCCCAGACCAATTATGAATTGGTTTCAAAATAAATCTATAAAAGCTAGACATGTCATACAAAAGATGCATATAAGACATTTTTTTTTTTTTATGAAAGCTGCTTTGGTAACAACAGAGTCAAGACATCAGTCGATTTCCTGTTCTCACCGGCGGACGGGGTGCTGAAGGGGGGCCCTTTCTCTCCCTCTCATCTCAGTGACTTTGTTTTCCAATGTCGCTCATCCTCCTGCCTCTAAAATCTAAATGAATGGATCTAGTTACACCAGACTGGGTGGTTGGTGTTTCTGTTCCGTTGTCAAGTTGCCTCCACATCAGATGCAATGTTCGCTGGTAGCGGTTTGTCATAACGATGTCCGCGCTGTGAAAGACAGTGCTATTGTACTGAGGGCTGATAAAGTAGAGACCTTGGTCGCCGAGCCAATTGCATTGGGACCTGAAAAACATGAAAATGATTGGGCTTTGATAGTCTGTCTGTTTATACAGAAAATGACAAGTAGCCTGGTTGGCAATTCATTGTTGAAGGCTTTTTGTGCTACTACATGCTTTGATGATCAAACCTTGGGCATATTTACATGCATTTCTGCATACAAAAAGTAATTTAGGCTGGGATTAAATCCTGGCATTATTCATTTTTATATGCGTCCCGGATAATCCTTACTCTATCTGTACCTTTTGAAGACATAACTAGGGCCAGAAAAACTCCAGTCCCTAGTCAAAACAATAAAGCAGTATTGGCAATAGCTATAGCAACGCCATTGAGATCATTGAAGTGTGAGGGAGCAGTCCACTAGAGACTGACCTGGTATTCTGGGGATGGTAATCTGTCTGCTACTGCTCCCCTCTCCTCCCTCCCCAAATGGTTTGATCTGGATGAAGTACTCCTCATCCATAGGCAGGGAGAGCTCCACCGACGTTGTGTTGGTTTCCATGACACTAGGACGGCTGTGTCGGTTACCCTTGTAGAGCACCTAGAAATGGACCACAGAGGTAGAAGGTCACCCAGGAGAAACCATGACAACGGCCACTATTTCTAACGAAATCCATGCAGTCAGTGCTTCCTTACTTTGTAGCCGGTGACCTCTGACTCGTTCTCCAGGGCTTTGACCTGCTCCCAGTTCAGGATTATCTTGGAATTCAATGTGTTCCACATCACTTTCACCGGGGGCTGGCTGGGCGCTGAGGGACACAAATACATGAGGATGAAGATCACATGATCTCCAATAAGTCAATGGAAACAACCTCTCAAACCAAAAGCAGGGTAGATGCTTACGTGGTTTCTTGGTGGTGACATTGACAGTTGTACTAGGAGGCCCAGCCCCGGCCGTGTTGTACGCTCTCACTGTGACGTAGTACGTGTTGCTTCCTCTCACCCCTCGGATAATGGCTGACGTCTGGTTGCCTACCGTCCTCTGCACACTGGCTGCCTCCTCCTTCTCTCTCTTCTCCCAGTACCTCAACTGAGACCAGATAGAAAGTGGATAACCAGGGACATTAACGCAGACACTAATTTGTGAGAACATTGTAAAAACCTGTTTTTGGTAGACACTGTCCATGAACTGTAAACTGGAACTGCAGTGAATTGATATAAAAACAGCATTTCATTGCATGATGTGTCACCTCATATATTCTCGTCTTTCCATGGGTAAGGTGCCTTGGTTCTGGTTACTTAGCTCTCGAAGTGAGGGAGTGTTTAAATGGCGTGGTCAAAGAGAAATCACAATGTACAAAATGTCCAAGCTGTCAAGTTGACTGATAACAGATTTTCTTTGTCACCCGAGTGTCCAGGCTGAAATAGCTGGCATGGTTGACAGCACAAATATAATTTGTCTTCCCTCACAGGAACAGTTTGCTCAGGCCCCACTTCCCTGTTAACTTTAAATGGTCAACAATTCATAATTCCGGTACTTTATGCATCCCATGTATGAAAATAGGCTTTTTTTCCAATACTTTATGTCAATAGTGAGCTGACTAAGAAGACCTTTTAGCCTACAGTACACTGTGTGGATTATAGGCTAAACATTCTGTCCCCTGGTGCATTGCATCACTAGACTGTTAGACTAATAAGTGTAGTTAGTAACAGCACTTAGAACAGCAACAAGAGAAACACAACTCAACAGACAGGGGACCTGGCTGGACCATTACACATAACAAGCTATTACATCTGAGTTGCCCAATGTGCATGAGCTAGCAACACTCATCAATAATAGAACAGAACAAGATTGTACAGCATTAGTTGTTACACACATGCACACACACATGTATATGCTCGCGACTGCACACACACAGACACACACACACACACGCATTTACTCATACAAGTAAACACTTTGACACACAAATAGGTAAAGAGAAACAGGAAAAAACTTGACTGACCTCATAGCCTAGAACTCTTCTCTTGCTGGTGTTCCAAGGCAGGGCTTTCCATGAAACCTCAATCTCAGACGCAGACAGACTCTTGGCTCGGATCCTGGTGGGCGCTCTGCCAGGCTCTGGGTGAATGTAAAAATACTTTGAATGAGATTAAAAGTAATGGCAGGCTTTGATGACCCTCAAAGTGGGTCCATCTCTTTCATCAGAGGTACAGAGAGAGAACCAGAACCAGCAGTAGTGTGAACCAACCATCTGCAGATAGGAGAGCATTGGCAGCAAGATCGCCGTAATGACCGGGAATAAATTATCCAGAGATCCTCTCCATTGGCTTTTAAAGGCTATGTGTGAACTGAGGCCTGAGAAGCACTGCCGCTCCTCTGACATGACATCATTCTTTACCAACCTTCCTCTGCAGAGTAGATGGTGATGACGGGTCCGAAAGGGCCTTCCCCTTCATTGTTGTACACTCCAACCTTCACTTGGAAGGGGGAGAAGGGCTGGATGCTCTCGTTCTTGAAGACATATTTGGAGGCTTCTGGTGAGGGCACTGCGGCCTGCATCCAGCCTGTGGCTCCGTACGGTCTGAAGGCCACCACATAGCCAAACCCTCCCCCATTCTGCAGCTCCTCAGGAACAGGCTGCAAGAAAACACACACACGAATGCACACACACACACACACACACGCACACACACACACACACACATTGAAACTGGTGCACAAGTAGTGAACACCCACATCCATCAATAATAAAGCGCCCTCAGCATGATACCTTCATCTAGCTATTGTTAAGACTGAAAGCACATAATATTTCAAATATTTATGGAGACTGACTTTTATTGTGCAAATCAACACTCCCCAAAGATGTATGGTTATATAAAGGGCATTCTATTTTATAATATTTGGGAACAGTGGAGGCTCCTCAGAGGAGCAAGGGGAGGGCCATCCTCCTCAGTGAATTTCATAAAAATAAAAATAGCGAAACATTAAAAAGGTATCCTTTTTAAATAAAACTATACTAAATATATTAATGTGTCACCAAATAATTGATTAAAACACACTTTGCAATGAAGGTCTACAGTAGCCTCAACAGCACTCTGTAGGGTACCACCATTGTGTAGCCGGAGGACAGCTAGTTTCCGTCCTTCTCTGGGTACATTGACTTCAATACAAAACCTAGGAGGTTTGTGGTTCTCACCCCCTTCCATAGACTTACAAAGTAATTATGACAACTTCCGGAGGATGTCCTCCAACCAATCAAAGCTCTTGCAGCATGAACTGACATGTTGTCCACCCAATCAAAGGATCAGAGAATGAATCTAGTACTGAAAGCATAAGCTACAACTAGCTAACAATGCATAAAATGTGGTGAGTCGTTGACTCAAAGAGAGAGAAAGACAGAAGTTAAACAGTTTTTAACAAATTAATTTCTTCAAAAATGAAGGAGAAGCAAGAGAGAGAGAGAGCGATACAGTAGCTATATTCTGTGGAATTATTTTTTCACTTACTTCGACTTACTTAGCTAGAGAATGCAGCTACCTAGTTTATCCTACTCAAACACCTGGCTTAAACAGAGAGGGATGCTATGTTAACTAGCTGGCTACGGCTATCCAACACTGGAACTCTTCCAAGTCAAGGTAAGCTTTTGGTTGTATTAATTTATTGCCACCGGGGCCCACCGGTGTAACTACTAAACTGCTTGCTGCTGAATGTACACTGTACTGCACGATTGTAGTGGGTTTAAACACGTTAGTTCTAGTAGCTACAGTACATTCGGAAAGTATTCAGACCCCTTCACTTCTTCCACATTTTGATACGTTACAGCCTTTTTCTAAAATTAATGACATTTTTTCCTTCATCAATCTACACACAATACCCCATAATGACAAAGCAAAAACACTTAAATATCACATTTACATAAGTATTCAGACCCTTTACTTTGTTGAAGCACCTTTGGCAGCGATTACAGCCTCGAGTCGTCTTGGGTATGACGCTACAAGCTTGGCACCTCTGTAGCTCAATTGGTAGAGCATGGCGCTTGTAACGCCAGGGTAGTGGGTTCGATCCCCGGGACCACCCATACGTAAAAAATGTATGCACACATGACTGTAAGTCGCTTTGGATAAAAGCGTCTGCTAAATGGCATATTATTTATTATTTATACCTGTATTTGGGGAGTTTCTCCCATTATTCTCTGCATATCCTCTCAAGCTCTGTCAGGTTGGATGGGGAGCGTCGCTGCACAGCTATTTTCAGGTCTCTCCAGAGATGTTCGATCGGGTTCAAGTCCGGGCTCTGGCTGGGCCACTCAAGGACATTCAGAGACTTGTCCCGAAGCTACTCCTGCGTTGTCTTGGCTGTGTGCTTAGGATCGTTGTCCTTTTGGAAGGTGAACCTTCACCCCAGTCTGAGGTCCTGAGCGCTCTGGAGCAGGTTTTCATCAAGGATCTCTCTGTACTTTGCTCCGTTCATCTTTCCCTCGATCCTGACTAGTCTCCCAGTCCCTGCCGCTGAAAAACATCCCCACAGCATGATGCTGCCACAACCATGCTTCACCGTAGGGATGGTGCCAGGTTTCCTCCAGACATGACGCTTGGCATTCAGGCCAAAGAGTTCAATCTTGGTTTCATCGGACCAGAGAATCTTGTTTATCATGATCTGAGAGTCCTTTAGGTGCCTTTTGGCAAACTCCAAGCAGGCTGTCATGTGGCTTTTACTGAAGAGTGGCTTCCATCTGGCCACTCTACCATAAAGGCCTGATTGGTGGAGTGCTGCAGAGATGGTTGTCCTTCTGGAAGGTTCTTCCATCTCCACAGAGGAACTCTGGAGCTCTGTCAAAGTGACCATTGGGTTCTTGGTCACCTCCCTGACCAAAGCCCTTCTCACCTGGTTGCTCAGCTTGGCCAGGCGGCCAGCTCTAGGAAGAGTCTCTGTGGTTCCAAACTTCTTCCATTTAAGAATGATGGAGGCCACTCTGTTCTTGGGGACCTTCAATGCTGCAGACATTTTTTGGTACCCTTCCCCAGATCTGTGCCTCGACACAATCCTGTCTCAGAGCTCTACGGACAATTCCTTAGACCTCATGGCTTGGTTTTTGTTCTGACATGCACTGTAAACTGTGGGACCTTATATAGACAGGTGTGTGCCTTTCCAAATCATGTCCAATCAATTTAATTTACCACAGGTGGACTTCAATCAAATTGTAGAAACGTCTCAAGGATGATCAATGGAAACAGGATGCACATTTCGCATTTTTTAGAATAAGGCTGAAACTGTGGAAAAAGTGAAGGGGTCTGAATACTTTCCGTATGCACTGTATGTGACTATGATGTTAATATGGTAACAATGATGTAGGCCGTGTGTAGCGGTTAGTGGTTATGATATGAAGGTTTGGCTTGGAAATGTTTTTTCACCTGGTCACAGAAAGCTGATGTGTTGTGCACTGAAGTCCACAAGCGAAGGGAAAAGGTGAGATTAGGAGAGCGCGTAGATACGAGAAGGAATACAACGATCAAAGGGATCATTCATGCTGTTTGTATGTGGCTGCTATGAAAGTGAACTGTGTTTGCGTGTGATCAGGGGTGTATTTATTCCACCGATTCTGTTGAAAAACGTTTCTTAAACGGATGCAAACGGAATTAAACATGGATAAATATACCTGAATTTGTACAATAGAAACTCTCATTTGCAACTGTTGGACTAATGATTACACTCTAGATCAGTTAGATGCAGGCAAGAGATTTGATTATTCAAATTTCTCTCGACCTACGTTGTAAACTTTAATTCATAGGCTAGGTTGTAGCTAGCAACCTCATGATGGGTATACGGAAAATGTGGCTATTATGTAGTAGCCTAAACCTATCGATGTTACATTGAGCTGGGTGAATGGAATATGAATGACAGTCATCCAATATGCTGTAATAGAAATAATAAAAATTATCATCCCCCTCATCTTAAATGACCACCACTGCTAGGGAAAAGCAAGACATTGAGTGAGAGTAGCTATTGTATAGTATGTAGACAGACAGCTTACGTTTTCACTTCAATGTGTAGCTACTTCTAGTCTGAAGTAACTTCAGTCAAGGCTGTATTAGAACTTTGTTAAGGCAAAGTTAGACTGGCGCAGTGGTCTAAGGCACTGCATCGCAGTGCTAGCTGTGCCACTAGAGATCCTGGTTCGAATCCAGGCTCTGTCGTAGCCGGCCGCGACCGGGAGACCCATGGGGCGGCACACAATTGGCCCAGCGTCGTCCAGGGTAGGGGAGGGAATGGCCGGCAGGGATGTAGCTCAGTTGGTAGAGCATGTTGTTTGCAACGCCAGGGTTGTGGGTTCGCTTCCCACGGGGGGCCAGTATGAAAAGTAAAAAAATAATGTTTGCACTCACTAACTGTAAGTCGCTCTGGATAAGAGCGTCTGCTAAATGACTAAAATGTAATTGAACTCATTAACATTCAATAGTCAATCAGCAAAACTTTCACAGCAGTGGATGATTTTCAAGCAGGACTAATCACATATTTTCTCAATTGCATACAAGCAATTTTTGGATCTGTGTTGAAACATATCTATAGCAGAACAGCAATGATCAAATGCTCAAATACATTTACAGAACTTCCGATCATTTTCTTGCTTTAGTACCTGATTTGCATATCATATCTATGTATTGAATACATGGAATTGGGTTGTGATGACACCGATGAATGCATCCTGTACACACTGCACCTTTTAATACTTTTTTGTTACCAGGAATAATATTTGATTTGATGAGTATGAAATTATTTGATGAAATATACATAAAAGGAGAGTAATTGCCCATAATTCTTCACCTTTGGATATTTGTACTTCCAATTTTGATAATCATTTAGTGACTGCAAAGAAAATGTATTGATCTACTGGGATTTTTAAAAGACCAATTAACTTTCTTTTTTGTCTACTTGACTTCAAGACGTAAGTATAGTTGCATTAATCTTTTTGCAGGCAGGCATGTTCTTTTGATGAATGTATTTGCAATTTTGACAGTATCATTTAGTTTTGATGAATGTATTTATGTTTTGAGAAGGCAACTACATTTTGACAAAGCATTTACTGTTTTGCAAAAGGCCATAGAGATCTGTATCTTGTGAACTTTGTTTTGAAAATTGGCAACATTGTTTAAAAAAATGCTTGTACGTGATTGAAAAAAACTGTAAGACTGAAAAAGATAGGAAAGCACAATCTTTGAAAAAGTTGCTTGTGACTTTGTGAAGAACCGTTCTGTTTAATTATCTTATTAAAACCTCAAAGGCATTTTTCTCTCCCCCAGGGTGACAGCAGCAGTTATTGCCTCTCTGTTCTTAAAAATTAAATGCCATACAATAAGCCTGGCTGCTGTTATTAATGAAAAAACGGCCCGACTCCTTAGAGAATAATGACGTCTGGCTTCCCCTCCATGGGTGAGGGAGTATTGGAGTGAGCGGCTTGCTTACCTCCCAAGTGATCACTAATTCTGAGCGACTGCCTCCACCTCCGCTTACATTAGCTGGTGTGACCTTCGGAGCTGGGGGAACAGAGGGTAATCGTAATCCTGCTCAACTCAGTCGACCCCAGCCATCAAAGATAACACGATATCAACACATTCGGATTAGATTCTTTGACATTGAAATAGCTTTTTCCCACCATACCAGACCATCTAATGGCAAGACGATGCACATAAGAAAAACAGAAAACATGCAGAATTGAAGGGATTCAATGAATACAGTACATACATGTTTCCTTTGTCCTTGCTTGTTTGGATGTTTTGCTGGGCTCCCCGGTCCCAATGGCGTTGCTTGCCAGGACTCTGAACTCATATTCCACCCAGGGGCTCAGGTCTATTACTGTAGCTGTCAGACGGTGGCCCCCAACCACCTCAGGAACTGGCACAAAACAAAACAGCCCCCTACCTTCAGAATGAAGCAGGTAGCAGGAGAGTGTCCTCTAGGCTGACAGGCCCACTGAGCACACTCCACAGGTGCATGGGTCTAATTACTCAGAAGGACACACGGTGCACTCACACGCACACAAGACAAAACACACACCTTAAGGGTGGACCTCACAAACAGCACCATTCACTGTAAGTCAGACCTCTGGAAATGGATCCATATTTCAACAACCCCTGCTGTTAAGTAAATCTACAGTGAACCCTGTCACTGAACAATTGAGTGCCATTGAAGTAAAATCACTCATAGGCCTATATTCTCACTCGGAGAAGAGAAAATGGAGATCAGACCCCTATATAACACTTTGATGAGGCAATAGCTGGTTGAAGAGCCTACCTGTGGTGACAGCCTGCCAGCCCAGGGAGAATGGTGTCCTGGCCTGGATGGTGTATGTGGTAACTGGACTGTGATTATCAGGCCCGGGCCTCCAGGAGAGAGAGGCTGTGGTGTCACTGATTTCTTCTACATGGATGCTGGTGGGTGGGCCTGGGGGACCTGCAGATAAAGGACACAGCCAGGCAGGAGGAGAGACGGAGGGAGACAGAGAGAGGAGAGAGAGAGAGAGAGAGAGAGAGAGAGAGAGAGAGAAGAGAGAGCTTGTAGATGAGAGAGAGAGAGACATAGAGAGATACATAGATATCTCGAGCAGGAGCCAGCTCTCTCCCGAGAGCTAGCTCGAGAGAGGGCGAGTATATCTGTCTTCTTCCCGCTCTTCGCCGTCGATGCTCTCTCTCTCTTACGCTCTCTCCGCTCGCGTTCGCCCAGAGAGAGAGAGATAGAGAGAGGGTCTAAAAGACGAGCAGAGCAGTGTTGTCCTTATCACTGTCTGCCTTCAGCACTAGGAGTACAGCTGGTGAAATCAGTTTGGTGTGAAACCTCCGGGAGCTTTTCTGTCTAATTAGATTAGACGTTATTTTCTCATCTAAAAGACAAGAGAGATATGTCTCTATCTGACCATCTTTCAACTGATCTCACAGAGTACAATGCCTAAACACAGACTACTACCTAGCGTCCATCTCATTCAGTCTTAAAGACACAGATGGGACCCCTTCAAATCTGCACAGCTAACTTAAATAATGCTTTGTTGTTGCCATGGATAACTGAACCAATCAAGTGACCAAAAACTATTTGGGTGGGATTGTTCCCTATCAAATTGCATTTTCTATTACCATTATTTTTCAATGACCTTTCAAGGACATGAGAATGACTTTCCAACATAAGATCAGTTCTGTGGGGTTTACAAGGTTTTCAAGATCAACAAATTCCTCCTACAAAGGTAACCCATATTGAATGTGTGAAAGTGTTAACATTGCTTGATACTTTATAATACTAAATAAGCATTTATTACATTATTATTAAATAACAATCATTGGTAGTTAAAATAAAGGAATCTTTCATTAAATATTGCTTGTCCTGTATAGACGGAGAGAAGTACTGTACCTCGGACCACCAGGTCTGCTGCGATGGAGATGCTGTCCACCTTGGTCTGTACCGCACAGGTGTACTTCCCTGCATGTCTCAGCTGGATATTCCGAATCATGATGTCCCCAGCTGAATGCTGCTAACATACAACACAAACACATGAACATGCACACACACACGCACAGACACACACACGCGCGCACGCAAACACATACACACGCACAATGATTAATATACTGTAGTAACATTTTACCAACATGTAATTATAATAAATTAAATATGCTGATTTGACAACAATATGTGAGCAGAAATAACATATTTAAAAAAAACTATTCAGGGTCTTTGTATGCTTATTATTGTATTATAATTCTAGGGTTTTAACTATGATCTGTTTCCATGTTTTAAAAGGGTTATCGGCATACCTGTACATGTGAGACAGGCAGAGCACTTACCTTTAATTATAATTATTACACAAATGTATTCATACACATGTGCTGATTTGAGCTGTGGAAGAGTGGCCTCATTATTTAAATGATCATGCAAAGCTTAAAGGTAAAGTTCTCAAGTTATTTTTATTCCATTTCTAATTGCAGTTCCCACTTTCACACTATCATTTAATCAGCCCAGTACTGAGTGGGATCAGGACCAGTCATAAATTGGATTTGACAAAAGCTCAATTGGATGTGGCAAAAACAGCATACAAATATATGTAACTCCAGTAGTGTCATTTATCATGTAAAACTTAATTATGATTAAAATAATGAAAAACATGACAACCTGACCAGAGACTGTACATGCCCCTACTAATCACGTCTGGAACAATGATCATCATCACTCTTCTTCAGACAGGGGAGCTGAAAAAGGGGCTTTTAAGTGTTTTGTAGTTACCATAAAGTGTCAATGAAAAAGGAAACCTTTGAGCTTGGTAGGTTTTAGGGAGGGATGGGGAATATGTAAATGTAATTTTAAAATAAATTTTGTGCAGCACATTTTCACCACACATAAATACACATGATCCAAACATTCTCTGCACTGCGGATACCCTACTTAATATGACCTCACTTATACTAAAGGAAGGGAACCACAGTATCGATGTTCCAATGTATCACCAGCTCACCCCTTGACCTTTCTCAATGTAATTTCTGAAGGGGTTGAAAAATCAATGTCTCTTTAATGACATATTTTCATGAGAGAGCAGTGGCGTAAATAAAATATAAGCAATCTCCAACACAGTGTAGAAAATATGTGTGTTTCTTCCTATTCATTATGCATTGCAGTGCTCCTGACAAGCATGGTGTAAAAGCGTGGTAATACGGCACCATTTCTCAGACATGACACTTTGATTATAAATGGAAGGCTTGATGGCCCCGGGAGGGAATCGGGAGGGAATATTCGGAGGCTTATGCACTTACACCGCCCACTTTTTCAAAGTATCCGCCGTGGTTGCCAAAGTGGATCAGCTGCTCGTTGAAGAACCAGGTGAACTTGAGCTCCAGAGATGGGTCATGAGTCACCTGACATGGCAGCACAATGCTCTCTCCTACAGTCACATCCAGGGTGGACGGTGGCGTGGTTATAATGGTCGGCTCTGGAAAACAGCACACATGCACTACTGTTAGTGTGAATGAAACAAAACACATTACATTACATTATGCAGTGTTAAGTGAAATCCCCAAGCTTAAAATACTGAAAAAGATTATTCCAATTGTTTTGCAAAATTCTAATATCTTCCATGTTTTTCAAATGACGAATTCAACGAATAAATGGACACACGTGGAAGTAAAAACACACTAACCCAGAACACAAACTAGCGTGATTACCAGAGTTAATGAGATTCAGCCAGCCATAGGGTACAGTGTGGGAACTGCAAAGGCTTGTCTCCCTGTACCTAGAGAAATGTGTTCCAAGTGTCACTGTCAGCTCAGCCTTCAGTCGGTAGGTACTGTAATTCCCACATCTGCAGTCTGCAGACCCCCTGACTTCTGGAGCCACTCAACAAAAAATAAACACATGCGGGGCTCACCCTTCACAACACATTCTCTATTCAAGTCTCTGCATGCATGTGGTGTGTTGGTGTTGTTTCACTGAGGAATTAGACAGACAGTGTTCCTCGTCTCCAGTGTGAGTATGAGCAGAGACAAGAAAGATAGCTACAGGAGCACGAGAGCGGAAGGATGAGAGGAATAAGGAACCCCTTTGTTCTGATGCTGTAAGGTGCTTGTCTCCCTGTTGAGGGTGCTGTGAGTACTCGGTTGAAATATCCACTCTGAGCACCAACTAAATTAACCATGGCAAATTATCCCTGGACAGGCAGCCATAGATTCCTGTAGAAAGTGCCGGCAGTGCAGTCTTCATCCAGAGCTAATTCGATACCTGCATTGCAGGGTTGGTGTCAATTCTGAATTAAGTTGCGACTTGGTCTTTAATTCCAATTAAATTCTTGAATTTAAATTCAATTTGAATTGGCCATATCCAATAGGAAGCAGAATTTGAATTTAATTTGAATTAAAGGAAGTAGAATTGAAATTCTAATAGATCATTTATTCCATACATCATTATGAATGTTTATTTTGACATAATATATGGTTGCCAATACTATGTTTAATATTCTTGAAACATGTAATTTTTTAAATCATTACAGTGGTCTGGAAACATTCTAAGATTATTTTGTAGGTTCATAATTCATAATTCACTTACATATTATTAAATATATAAATACATTTCCCAGAACACATTAGATCAAACACTCCAGAATGGAAGGATGGAACAGAATGGAACAACCTAACATCTCATGACAAAAATACAAACAAAATACTGTTTGACATCTTCAAGTTATAATCAAACTGATATTTAAAATGGAATCTGTATTCAGTAAGAAGTGGCAGATGTTTTTGGCAAAATATTTTTCAAAGGAATGAGATTCATACTGTATCTTTCATGTCTCAGTTGAATTTCTTTAAATTGTTTTGAATTGAATTCTACTTCTGTCATGATCGTCGAAGGAGGACCAAGGCGCAGCGTAAAAGGTGAACATATTTATTAAATAATGATAACACGAACAAAAACAACAAACGATAACGTGACGGCCAAAGGTGCAACACACAAACCTATACAGGAACAAGATCCCACAAACACTGTGGGAAAACTGGCTGCTTAAGTATGGGTCCCAATCAGAGACAACAAGCAACAGCTGATACACGTTGCCTCTGATTGAGAACCACACTGGCCAACATAGAAATACAAAACTAGAACAAAAACAAATGAAAATTCACACCCTGGCTCAACATACTAGAGTCCCCAGAGCCAGGGCGTGACAACTTCCTTTAATTCAAATTCAATTCAATTTCTGCTTCCTGTTTGGTGTGGCCAATTAAAATTAAAAATGTCAATTCATAGGTTGAATTGAATTAAATTCTGAAATTCTGAATTGACCACAACCTTGCTGCGTTGTATGCCCCCTACTCAGAATGTGATTTATCTAGTCTCTTTCTGATATCAGAGTAGAGCGCTATCAGCTGGTGGGTTTTGTTCAGTAGTGGTGCGTGGGTAAAATCACTGGGGAAGCCAAGCCAGGAAAAAAAAGGCATATTACAGCCTATGTGTTGTGATAATTGCATTGTTTGCTCTATAACCTTTTAGTTCATATGCCTTGCCACCATGATATATAGGCCTACGGCCGAGACAATAAGAAGACACAGCGGCAGAATAAATTCAACCACACCTTTGTTTCATCACAAAACCAGAGAGCAACATCTGTCCGGTGGAGTCCACAAAGCATATTGCATGTAACAAACAGTTACATGACCTACAGCATGGTCAATCAGGTTAATGTTTTCGACATTTCTCGGACTACTAAACAACTATTGATTTAGAACACCGGAGAGTTACTGCAAGTCGCAAAGAAAACAGGAGCTGCCTCCACTAGTCCAGCACCATTTCAATTTCAACATCATCTAATCCCCTATACTTAGTCTAATACTGTGACAAAAGTATTTTAGTCCAATCAATGTAAGCTAAATATCATGTGGCTGTCCATGATACTGATTTCTGATGTGTGTGTTTTGGTTTTACTATCCTTGTGGGAACCAGATGTGCTCACAAGGATCGTAAAACAAGGAAAATTAAGAGAAGCTGGGACATTTTGCTGGTCCTCATAAGGAAAAAGGCTATTTTAAGCTTGGGGGTTAGGTTTAAGGTTAGGGTTACAATTAGGGTTAGGGGTTAGGTTTAGGGTTAGGGTTAGGATTTAGGGTTTGGGGTTAAGGTTAGGGTTAGGTTAAGGGTTAGGGGTTTGGGAAAATAGGATTTTGAATGAGAATCAATTGTTTGGTCCCCACAAGGATAGTAAAACAAATGTGTGTGTGTGTGTGTGTGTGTGTGTGTGTGTGTGTGTGTGTGTGTGTGTGTGTGTGTGTGTGTGTGTGTGTGTGTGTGTGTGTGTGTGTGTGCGTAAGTAGAAAAAACATGTTGACTCACCCTACTTGTAGAGAAACACCAATACCATCCTCCTCTCTTTCATGTTGCCGAAACGGTCTATGACTCTGTCATACAGTACACGCTTTTAGTTTTTGTTGTCCTAGGCTACCTGGCTAAAATGCATGCTCGCTAGCCTAACTTATTTTCATGGGCAACTATTAGTCAGCTAACATTAGCCTACTACATCTAGCTACATATTGAACTTCCATCCTCTTAGGCCAGAGGCACAATGAATGAATTTATGGTTTGGATCAGAATCGCCGTTATAATCATTAGCCAGTACGGAGAATTAAGTAAAACCACGAATCCAAATCTCTATCTCCATTCCTGGCTAATTTAGGAAAGGGACAATTTTAGCTAGCTAGCTAGCCACCAGAAGACAACAACACAACGAGATGCTACAATTCTAGTTTTTTTCTGTCAATGAAGTTTGGCTTTTGATGTGATTGGTGTGAAGCCAAATCCAAACTGGCTTCCCTTGACACTTTATTTTTTGGTGCGCCAGGACCATTCACAGTTGAGTTCACTCAGTTTAACTCAACGCTCATTGGTTATTATTCTATAATATTTTTATCAAGGGAGAATGCTCACTGGCTTCCCTTGCATTCATTGACATGGGCGGCAACAGTGTCATACTCTTTTTGACCAGACAGTGTCAGATAGATGGGCTAAACATACAGAGACAGAGGGGGCGCTGTTTCGCTCACTCGGATGCTTTCCGGTGAGATACATTCAGCCTCTTGCAAATTGAAGGGAAATTATGAAACAGAGAGACAAAAGATAAATTATTTTATGTTTTTTTCTTGGTCAATTTTTTGGGGGAAGCCTTGCTTCCCTTGGCATCCATGAATACACGCCACTGACTTTGTTAAACGTACAGTGAGAGGGTGTCTCAGCCCTATTCCAGGAAAGATAAAATGGGGAGCTATATAGTGACACAGTCAGACACAAAGGGACACATGAGGGCAACTATTCAAGTGTCTGGGTCTGGATTTCTATTTGCAGAGAGAACACGTTTAATAAATGTCCATCAATGCCAATAGGGTTGAAAGGGCAAAAAAGCTATACCTCCTCTTTCCCCTGACAGATCACTTGTGAGAATAGGGCAAAAATGAGCTTTGGGTTTGACTGTCTAATTCCTGACAAAATGCCAATTGATATAGTTTGCTGATCTGAAGTTTTTTTTTTTTTTTGTCCTATCAGTAAGGTATCCTTATGACGTAATTGTCACAAATTTACAAGCCTAATGACATGTGACTGTCAAGACAGAGTGCTGACAAAATACAGGTGAAATATCCAATGCTAACTGACATAGCAACCTAAATGCTAATGTGACAGAAGTCATTTAAAAAACCATGGGGGCCAGATATATGGCCATGCATAGTCAGCTCTAAGCTCTGAGGCTGACCAGAGCCAATAATTCACTGTAAAGATGACACTGGGAAAACGTCTCTTATTACTCCACTCAATCATCATTTGTGACAGATTGTATGGATAACACTGCTTGGTTACACGAACTCAGCAGAGCTCTCCAGCATCATTTGATTGATATCTATCTTGTATAATGCCTTGTTACCTACTGTGGCTATAAGAGCGAGGTAGCACACCCCTCTCACTAAGCAAAGTCAATCAGAGACAAGATGGTAGGCTTGTAACCACACCGACAGATAGATCCCACTACACTCCAGGGACTGCTGGGAGGGTGAGCAGCAGAAAAACTGGAGAGACATGAAATTGCATAGTAATATCGTTAAAGTGGGAGGTCAATGACGGGAAAGAGAGAGAGATAGAAGGGGCTGGGCTAACTGTTTAAGGTGTGAATTAATGTGGGCTCCATCCTCCCCGGTCTCTGTGGCTTGCGGCTGACACACCTCACTCTGCCAGTTCCTCTGCTCAGACTCTGCTCATCCCACAAACAGCCAGTCATACGTGAATAATGCTCTCACAGGCTATGTAGCTAGTGCTACTGAGGCAGAGATGCCCCATCGACCACTGTGGAGACTTCCCTCCAAGTTGGGGGGGGGGGGGGTAAATGTGTACTCCTCTCTGGTGTACATATTCTTAAGGCCCTCTGCTCAAGGGTGGCTATGTGCAGTTGAATAATGCATTA